ACCACGGGTGGTTTATTGTTTATAGGCTGAGTTGGCTTTCAAAACAATATCATAATCATAACGCACCACGCAGATCGTCCGGTACAAGTCGGTAGCTTGGAGTTGTTGTTTTCCATTATAAACCATGAAACTTTATTCCGTCTTGCGTCAGGCTAACGTCAAATGGATACAGTGTGAATTGCATATAAAACCCAGTGTTAATTATCCTTTAAAATGCACGTGTGCATTTTGAGTACTTTATTTACAATGGCCTCGTAGCCCTCCCCGTGAATTACCATCATAAAGTCGGATACAGCGGAGAACCGGCATGCCTTTCGGTTAATGCTATGACGTCATGCTGACTTCTCATAGTGTTCTAAATTGGAACTCTCTAGGAGTAAAAGGTAAACTACTTAACATTCGCATAGCCTAGGTGTTCATCCATTATGAGACGGGAGGTCAATGAAGGGTGATACTCAAGTGCCAAGATCAAATATTCCTTGACATTTTAAGCTGTGTTCTTCTCGAAACCTACTAGCATTTTGACTGCTCTGTGTTATTGTTCAGTTGTTATTTTGAAGCTAGCTTTCTACATATCCACAAATGAAAGCGAGAGTGCATAATCATGTGAATGATTGCTTTTTTACAACTCAGTTTCAATTTTTAAAGGAAACATCGTACCCATGTTCTTGACATCAAAGCATTAATGAAATCGAAGATTAAGGACGTTTGAGTATACTCCTCTGATTCAGGTCCGGAAATCTGTTTTGCTTTCCGAACGATTATAATTCAAACGGCTTCTACATGATGAAATCATTTTGCGTCTTGAAATTGACGTCTCGAAAACCCTCGTTTACATGACGATTACAATTACCCGGATAGCAGTCTCATGTGTAATTTCATGGAGAGGGAAATAGCTCTTTCTGACCGGGCAATAGTCTTTGAGCTATTAATCGGTGCGTGTGAACTAGATAAACATACGGGAATAGTCAAAACTAAATAATCCATCGTAAAAACAGGAAAGCATGCATCGGGAAATAATAGCATCTATTCAGATATTCTGCTTACTTAAAAACAACAGTTAATAGAATAGTTAATCGACTTTCACAAACAGTTCTAAGAGACTGACTCCAATTTCGTGAACACTTCTTAACTAAAGGAAATTCCTAATATCAAACTTTCGTCATAGGAAGACATTTTTGAAATAAGGGAAAATCTCAGGTTCGGGAAGCTTTTAAAACTTAAGCAACGCTTTCCTATGAGAGAACGCTTCAGTAAAAGACACTGGTGCGTATTCATGAAACCGTTCGCATACTCAAGCATTATTTCTGTGCTCAAACCGACTTCCATGTAACTCGCTTAAATCATGTTAAACGGTCAAAAAGTCGAGTGTTAACATTGAAAACGATATTCGGCTAAATGTCTTTCCATATTTCTTACATACATGTGTATCATTGACATGTTTTCTTAATGCATAAATTTATCACTGGCATAAGAAATTGGGCTTGACACAGAATATGGGTTTGAGCATGAGAACGGTTTCATGAATACGGTCCCTGGTATGTTCCTATTGAGAAAAAAGAACGCTTATGGAACTTTCATGAAATACCGTCATCACAAATGTCATAAGAAGGTATTGATGAGAACAGTGTGGTCGTTCAGTACGTTAAATGTTAATAATAGTTACGTGGACAACGGAAGCAAGTACTCTTGTGCGTTACGTCACAGCAGAAGTGACGTATAGCGCATACCTCAGTTCTCTGTTGTATTGCAATTGGTGTGTAAGTGGGTATTTAATTGTGTTAGAGAATAGGCATACGTTCGATTTTTGCTTATGCTTATAAAATTAATGTTATTTCAGCCAACTGTGTTTGTTGTCCACGGTGACGTATGCTTTCTATAAAATATCATATTTGGAAACAGCATTATTGTTCGACGTCTTTAATTTAGAGATCTGAAGGATAAAATGAAATGAAAGTACTTTTCGAAAGTCTTGAAATTCAAGAAAGAACATCATCAATTTTATCTGAATAGTTTTGTTATGAATGAGTCATGTTATTCGTTCGGACCACATGTAATAATCCCCGAACACTATTCTTTTTCATTTCCACGGAGTACATTGAACTATCTACTGTAAATTGCTACATGTATGTTGTCTCGACCTGTCGCTACAGTTATAAGTTATCAGAATTAAACGTTCACTGAGGAGTAATGAAACAAGTGTTGTTTAGATGAGAAGTAATCCCCTCTTAGCCGTGTTGATGTTGGACCAACGTCAGTGATTCTGAGAAATTTGACTCGTTAATCCAGTGTGTATAAAATATAGGGATTACATTATCTCGTGTCATGGACGTGTTTTGAAGGGACTGACAGGAAGCACTAAGATTGGAAAAAATAACAAATGAATTCTCTTCCGAAATTGAATGCATCATATCAGGCCTTTTTTCATGGGCATTTCTCTATAGTAAAACGTTAATGGAGTTGAGGACAAATATTAAAGTAAGGATATTTTCCTTAACCATAGTAATGTTTGCTTAACGTTCTCCGTGGCAAAAGCGTTATTGGAGTTAAGGAAAAGTCTTATCTAACGAAAAAAATACTTAAATTTCAAGTTTTGTTCCCTTCAGATTAGAAACGTTCGTTATAGGGTCTGGTTCTCTCTTCCTAACAGAATATTAACTGAAACAAGTACTTCATTTTGTTGGTAACAGAAATGAGACGTATTTTGTTAAACATAAGAATGTAACAAGAATAGCTAGGAATACTCAGCGGTTATTTCCCTATATGATAAAAAATGTTTTTATCGGCAACCGAGACATTATGGTTTTGCATAGGGTCGATTTCGTATTATAATCTTAAGAAACTCAGGTTATACAATTTAACAGGTTGTAGTTTTGTAGCTATTCCAGATCATGTTTCTAGAGCGATTCGTGTCATCTTTGAGTTTAGATTTCAAGTTTTCGCTAGAGTGTTATGACGCGGATATATATGTTCTTTTTGATCTATTTTTCATATCAAACATTCTTCAGTAATATAAACAAAATATGCTTCTTCTGATAAACTAGACTGGCTACCAGCCCCTAAGTTTTTTATGAAGAATTTCTCGGTTGCATTATACTCCTAACTTATCTCCACCTAGTTCAGAATTCAGGCTCGCCCTAGTTTAGAACTTAGGCCAGAATCAGACATCCAAGTGATCAAAAGTTTTAGAGTTAAAATAGTTTTCTTAATTATTCAATATTCTAGAGGCGGTGGCCAGTCTACTGATAAACATACTGATGTTTTATTTCCAAAATCTAAATCTAAAAGTACTTTGTTTTGTTCTTGTAAAATTTAAAATCTAGTGAAAACCATATAATGTATGTGTCAAAACCATAGCTGTTTGAGACAAACAATATTATACATATTACATACGCATACCACTTAAAATTGGCACCACCACGATATAGAAATTCAATGGATAGACATGATAAAAAATAGGTAAGTCGAATTTCCCAAAGTAAAAAAAGAAAAACAAGTTAGACCACCATCTAGAGACGACCTGGATAAAAAACGTAACTCAACACTGTCTTCTATTCAAGTATCTATTTTTGGTTCACCAGAAATTTAAGAGGGACGATGTGCGTCGTATAGCTATACTCCCTTGGTAGCCCCAGACTTTGTTTAATTATAATGTATGGTATTCCCGTTCTGTCCAATATGAGTTATTATTTCCCTCAGCCCTACAGGTGCGTGTTTAACCCCGAGTGTTTTTTTTGTGAGGAGAGAGCAATGGCTTAATGGATGTCATAACGTCAAAACCCCCAACGGTGGTGGGAGGAGAGATAGCGGGAGGGGAGGTAGCCTAACAGTGAAGGGAAGGATGACATTGTGTAGGGGTAGGGGAGGGAGAACATCGGTAGGGGAGGGGGAGAGGGAGAGGAAAAAACCTGACTGCGATGGGAAGGATGAAATTGGGTGGGGGGAGCGGGGGACATTGGGGGACATTGGATAGGGGTAAGG